TGAAATATCCCAAGAAATAATTTGTAATCCCAACAGCTCTACTTTCAATTACCATAGAGCTGATTGGGAGCAGTATCGAACATTTATGGAATATAACTTCGATCCAAACATTCATTTGCAAACCAAAGATGAAATTAATTATGCTCTTGAATCTCTGACTACTTCTATAGTTGAAGCAAGAGCTGCCTCAGTACCAAAATGCGAGGTTAAATTCGATTCAATTATAATAGACGATGATCTTCAGCTCTTGATCCGTCTTAAAAATGTCCGTAGGAGACAATATCAAAGAACACGCGATCCTGCCATGAAAGTTATCTGGCGGGATTTGCAAAAACAAATTAAAAAGCGATTCTCTGCCCTGAGGAACAAAACTTTTGAAAATAATATTTCTAAATTAGACCCGAGTTCCAAACCCTTTTGGAAACTCACAAAAATTTTGAAAAAACCTCAAAAGCCTATTCCAGCGCTTAAAGAAGGTGGTAAAATTTTGATCACAAATTTGGAAAAAGCTCAGAAACTTGCTAAGCAATTCGAGAGTTCCCATAATTTCAGTTTGGGTCTTACTAGTCCTATTGAGAATCAGGTTGCTCGGGATTTTCTGAATATTTTCTCTCGGGAAAATATTTTTGATGATTCCTGGGGGACTGATTTGGACGAAGTAAGGTCTATAACTAAAAAATTTCAAAATATGAAAGCTCCAGGTGATGATGGAATTTTCTATATCCTCATCAAAAAACTCCCAGAGAGTACCTTGTCTTTCTTGGTAAAATTATTTAACAGATGTTTCCATTTGGCATACTTTCCTGATAAATGGAAAAATGCAAAAGTTGTTCCAATTTTGAAGCCGGATAAAAATCCAGCTGAAGCTTCTAGCTACCGCCCAATAAGTTTGCTTTCTTCAATAAGTAAACTTTTTGAAAAGATAATTTTGAATAGAATGATGCTTCACATCAATACGAACTCAATTTTTGCAGATGAGCAGTTTGGATTTCGCCATGGGCATTCAACTACTCATCAACTCTTAAGAGTTAACAATTTAATTCGTTCAAACAAATCTGAAGGCCACTCGACTGGAGTTGCTCTTCTAGACATAGAAAAAGCATTCGACAGTGTTTGGCATGAAGGTTTGATTGCTAAATTGAAAAAGTTTAATTTTCCACTTTATATTATTAAATTAGTTCAAAATTATTTAACTGACAGAACTCTGCAGGTAAATTATCAAAATTCCAAATCTAATCGACTACCTGTTAGAGCAGGAGTTCCTCAGGGTAGCATTCTTGGGCCTATATTGTATAACATTTTCACTTCGGACCTCCCTGATTTGCCTCAGGGTTGCCACAAATCTTTGTTCGCTGATGACACAGGCATTTCCGCTAAAGGAAGAAGTCTTCGTGTTATTTGCAGCAGACTGCAGAAAAGTTTAGATATTTTCTCTTCTTATTTACAAAAATGGAAGATTTCTCCCAACGCTTCCAAAACTCAACTTATAATATTTCCACATAAGCCCAGAGCTTCCTTTTTGAAACCTAGTAGTAGTCACATAGTCACTATGAACGGAGTTCCTATTTCCTGGTCAAACCAAGTAAAATATCTTGGATTAATACTTGACCAAAAATTAACTTTTAAAGATCACATTGAGGGCATTCAAGCCAAATGTAACAAATATATTAAATGTTTGTATCCTCTTATAAACAGGAAATCCAAACTTTGCCTGACGAATAAACTTCTAATATTTAAACAAGTTTTTAGACCGGCCATGCTTTACGCTGTGCCAGTATGGTCTAGTTGCTGCACTACCAGGAAAAAAGCACTTCAAAGGATTCAGAACAAAATTCTGAAAATGATTTTGAAGTTGCCTCCCTGGTACAGTACAACCGAAGTACATAGAATTTCGAATGTTGAGACTTTAGCACAAATGTCCAACAAAATAATTAATAATTTCAGGCAAAAATCGTTGCAATCCTCAATTGCAACGATTAATTCCCTTTATACTTAGATAAGATTTAGTTTTAGTTTTTAGTTTTAAGATATCAATTGTTATACTGACATGCAGGTTTAAAAACCTGTTTAAAATACTGAATTGCCAAGACATGAACAATGTAAAAACACTTAGATATATATCATAACAATTAAGGCTGGTACGTTACTGCAGTAACTGGAGCACCTAGGTTAAAATGAAATGTAATTTATTTTGAATTTGGAACAAATAAAGAGTAAAAAAAAAAAAAAAAAAAAAAAAAGCATGAAACCCAACAATTTTCAATCGGACAAAGCATTCAAGTTGTGGCTACATTGAGGTTTCACTGAAATTTAAAGAACTAAAAATATTTATTGGATATAAGCTATGAAAAATGGACTTTTTTCGAAAATATCATCGGGGCGACCTCTAAACAACATTTCCCAGAGTTGCCGCCATACAACAGTTTGTTTGTAATACCCTTAGCTATCATTTGGAGGTTGAGCCCCCAGATTTCCAGACATAGTGCAATTTTGGGACACCCTACTCTGCATTGAACAAATTCTAGAAAATTGTTTCGCTTAGCTGTAGCAATTGCAAAGAGAAAATCGATGAAGTCATCGATCATACCTTATACCACTTATTCATGATCACTGTCGATTTGAAGGCGGTAAATGGAGTAAGCCGAGGAGTAAACAGACAGTAAATCGATGAACGTCGATTTAATTTTTAGGTACACTGATTTACTCGCAGCAAAAACGGAACTCAGAGTAAAGCTGTCTCACCCGTTACTGTTGCCAAATGAAAATGAAGGGAATCTGTAGAAAACCGTGATGCGATCTCCACTGTTTTTCTCTTGACGTGACTCTTATACACAGATTCTATCGTCGCCTACCTAGTATAACTGTTTCCAAACGCGAATCTATCTATTTATCTTCTATCTATCTATCTAGGGGAAATGGCTCTAATGTTGGCCTATGAATCTAAGATTGGGCCCATCGCTAAAAATCTGGTATTTATCAATTGTATCTAGATGAACGCGTCATTGGGACGGTACTAATGATTATTTTTGGATGCTATTGAAATTTTAGTCGATTGCTGAATTTATGTATGGGCCCAAATTAGGGACACTCAGGCCGACATTACATACATTTCCCCTATATATATATAAATGAATTTCTGCCTGTCTGTCTGACCCTTATAGACTCGGAAACTACTGAACCGATCAACTTGAAAATTTGTATGCAGGGGTCTTTGGGGCAGGGAAAGGTTCTTATGATGGTTCGAGACCCTTCCCGAGGCTCCCATACAAATGAAACAGAAATTTCTGCATAACTCGAGAACTAATCAAGCAAATGGAACCAAATTTGACATGTGGAGGTCATAGGGGGTAGCCCCTTAGATAAGAGGGGAGGGGGCTACGTACAATAAAGCATGCTTTTTTTAATTGGCGCATAAACTCAAGCTAATATTGAATCCCGAGCAAGGCCGGGCTCACTCAGCTAGTAAGTCATAAGAACAAGAATGATCAGTAGGCTGATTCGACAGCTCGTCCCCCCGCAGGATACTAGGTGATGAAATAACAAACTTGACGAGTGTTGTTTCTTTTTTGAGCAAATTACCATACAATACGCCTTTTTAATAGAAACTTAGCGATCAATTCAACCTCTGGTGATGAATAGGAGAACGTCGAAAAGAGTGTTGTGAGCAGAATTTGTTGCCGTGAGACATAGGAAGTGGAATACTTTTTAACTTTCCCTCATAAATCCCTTGATCTACAGTCGAAAAATTTAATTCGGTATCGTTTTTGCAAGGATCCTGCTGGTGTTCATTTTTGTTGAGAAAAATGTAAAATTAGAATAGTGCCTTAGTGGTTATGATCTCCCGGATTTCTAGTGTATGAATAGTTGAAGTACAAATCAGTTCAGATCGGTGTAAAATCGTAAAGTAAGACAATTACCGATGAAAATTGGCAAGATGTTCAATGAAAAATGCTTTAATTTGCGTTGTGAAAAATCCTCATTTTGATGTAAACAAACGGTTTGGTTGACGTTTCCTCTCGAACTCGCCTGGCGCCCTCTTATTGGAGGTGCAGTAAAAATGCCTATGGTGTGTAGCAGTAATCGTATACGATTACTAGTGTGTAGTGTTTACAAGATCAAGTTTCTAACTCGAATACTTTCTGCAATTTTAAACAGGAATTAAACAACCATAACTATCAGAAAACATACAATTCTACAAAAGAAAGCATCCATTCTGGTCTGGTACACTACGGGTCCTTTTAAGTAAGTCACATCGAGCGTCACTTCTGGTCACTGGTCTTATACAAAAATAGACCAGTGACCAGAAGTGACGCTCGACTCGACTTACATAATAGGGCCCGTAGTCATGATAGCCAGTGCTTAAGCTCCCGTTTCTTCATTCCTCGTGCCGTCAGACGCTGTAAAACGTGTTGATCGTTGCCTAATGTTAAATTATCTCGCAACTATTTTTCTATCACTTCCTAACAAAATATTTGCCGAACAAAAAAAAAAATAGATCGTTTAATTAGTCGAGCAATCGGCAGGTTTTAATCAGAATGGTCAATTCTCAGTATCTCGCCAAAAATCACCAGCCTACAACGCAACACCCATGTGATAGCTCACCGTTTTGCGTTAAATTCAATTTGGCCCAACCGAAGATAACAATAATCCACCGCCTTAGTAAGTGTTATGAAATTTGATGATGTTTGTCTGTTTTAATCATTCAATTAAACCAAATGTGAAATAAATTAAGGAATGCATCTCCTGAATCGTCTTCCTATCTACGTCAACCACCAAGACATGAATGCCAGTTCGAACTTCCGAGCGAAAATTACAATTCATAATAAATTACAGTTGTAAGAATTCTAGCTATTTCCTTGGATTAAAAGAAGCGCCAGCTGACGATGGTGTGCTTAATCCGGATCGCATGCCACATTAACCAAGGTCGATAAAAGCTCTACGATAAGAGCCCCGGGTGTAGGAGTTCGACTGTTCAGTTTAACGAGAGCTGTTGACTAGGAAGCAAGTGGCGCACCCGCGGTTGATCAAGTGATAATGTCCAAGTTCACCTACGGCATCATTGGAGCTGGATTGGCCGGTGTCAATGCCGCAAGACATGCCTTGGAGGCGGGAGGCGATGTAACGATTTTTGAGCAGACGAGCAAAGTAGGTGGCACTTGGGTTTACACTGATGAAACTGGAAAGGACAAGTATGGGTTGGACATCCATACTAGTATGTATCAGGGGCTGAAGACGAACATCCCGAAGGAGATCATGGGATTTCCGGATTTCCCCATTGGACAGCAGGAGGAATCATACGTGACAGCACAGGACGTGTTGAAATTTATTGAGCATTTTACTGAAAAGTTCGAACTGTACAAGCACGTCAAGTTTGAGCATCACGTGATCCGCGTAACACGGAAGTTGGATTGTGAGAAATGGGAGGTAAGCGATTGGCAGTCAGACCTATTCAGCGGTGTTTTTTCTTACAATCTGTCTTAATTTTAAGGTCTTGGTGAAGAACCTCCCGGCCAACAGTTACGATACGTACCTGTTTGACTACATCCTCGTCTGCAATGGTCACTTCTTCAGTCCATTCGTACCGAAAATCGCGGGTCATGAAGTGTTCAAAGGTCGCCAAATGCATAGCCACGACTACCGGTGTCCTGATCCGTTTCAAGGGAAAAATGTGGTAGTGATTGGTGGAAGTCACAGTGGTATGGATGTAGCAATCGCCGCGGCTCCACTTGCCAAGCAGCTTACTCTGAGCCATCGCTGTCCGGAAAGGTTGAACATCTTCTGCGATAAAGTTGTGCAGAAACCGGAGATAGCCAAAATCTATGAAAACGAAGTGGAATTTGCCGATGGTACACGGCAAACGTGTGATGTTCTGATCTACTGCACGGGCTATCGGACGAGTTTTCCGTTTCTTAGCGTAGACTGTGGCATCACGGTAGAGGAGAACCATGTGCAGCCATTGTACAAGCACTGCATTAACATTCGGCATCCATCGATGGCGGTGATCGGATTGCCGTTCAGTGTATGTTTCACCATGATGGTGGATTTGCAGATAAGATTTTGCATAAAAATGTTCAGCGGAAGCAAACGACTACCTTCGGAAGCGGACATGGCTGCCGATACCAAGGCGGATGAGGAGGAACGTGCCAGGAGGGGATTTCTCAAATGTCAAGCGCATATGCTGTCCGGTGATCTCCAGCAGCGATACTACGACGATCTGGCCCGGATAGCGGAAATTGAACCGTTGAAGCCGGTACTGACGAAGTTGTATGCGGTTTGCGTGCGGGAGAAGAAGTTGGATATTTTGAATTACAGGAATAATGTGTACCGGGTCGTTGACGATGACAATTTCATCAAAGTTAATTGAGTAGAGTATGGTGGTTTTTAAATTGAAACACATTGAGATTAACCTTTCCGAGCCCATGATTTTTTGGCGTAAACAATAATTTGTTGCTCACATTTCGTCATTTATTGAACGATTTTTATTTGAAAAAAGCATTCAATCGATCGGCTAGTTTTAGATTTTGTAAAGGTTGTGCGTAGTTTTGGTTTATTTTGAAATAATTCGTTGGGTTCATACCCAATACAGAAATTTAAAATTGTACTATAGATTTGAATAAAAGTACACTCAATTCTGTTTTTACGCCTCTATTTTTGATCATGTGATCTCAAATTCCAACCCATCCTGCATAAGGGTAAAATCGAAAAAAAAAATGAAGATCGACTGTAGCAGAATTTGTAATGTTTTACCACATAAACAGATTGTCTATTGAAGATACAGTTAAAAAAATTGAAACGTTAATTCTAGGTAAATTGTGAAAAAAGTGTGTCTCCTTCAATGCACTGGGGATAGAAAATCGTTTTGTAAAGATTTTATACTAGAATTTTATTTTTTCTAAAAAAAAAACATACTTGTACGCTACAGCCCAATGCAAGAACTGCCATTACATTTCACGTAGGCAACTTATAAGGAGGCTGTAAAAAATGCACACTTACACTTGATGTAAATGACATTTGTTTTGCGGGAAAAACGATTTTATAAAAAATGGATTTGACCACACGCGTTTATTATTATTTTGAAAAGTCATCAAGAATTATGCTCAACTGTTACCAAATCGAAAACTAGAACCAATTGCTGATCGATTGGAATTTGTTTCAACTTCATCTAAATCGGTGAAGAAATGACCAAATATCATATCTATTTTGTTAGGCGAAAAAGCATGGGTGGACAAGTTTTGCTGGAAGCATGTTGGACCTAGCAAATAAAAAGTCTGCAGCTCAATACCTATACCATTGGTTTTTATTTTGCAGATCGAAGGTGCTCATTCATCTATCATAAAGTCCGAAATTCTTCATCACTGACAATCTCAAAATTATCTTCCCGATAAAACTGGACACTTTCCCCTCGACGCCGCAAGCACTCGTCAAACAGCTTCATCAGAGCAGGTCTAATTGGTTTAATCCCGGCAGTTGTAGCTAAATCATCGTAGTACTTCGACTGCAGATCCCCCGGCAGTTTGTGCATCCACTTCCTCGGTAAGCCCCGTCGCTTCCGTTCGGCAATATCCGCTTCCATATCCCGGAGCATATCGTCTCTAGAGGGAAGTTTCCTCTCGCCGGTGAAGTACTTCATGCAGAACCGAGCCTGTAGATCCATCATCTGAGTGGGGATGCAATAGAAGGGAACCCCAATCAGTGCCATCGTCGGGCGATTAATATTGATAACATGCTTGTACAATGGTTGCACGTGATTATCTTCCACGCGAATGCCACAATCGACACTCAGAAATGGAAAGGTATGCTTGTAGCCGGTACAGTAGATAACAGCTGAGAAGCTCATTTCAGTTCCATCTACAAATTCCACTCCATTTGATGTCAGCTTGGAGACGGCTGGTTTTACTGTCACCGAACCATCTATATCGAAGTCAACCTTTTCCGGATTATGATGACTGATGGTGACACTTTTTGCCACCTTAACAGTGGCGATTGCAATATCCGATGAGCTGTATCCGGCGCCGACTAGTAGAAGATCCAGATCCTGGAACTGATCGGCATTGCGATAATCATGGCTGTGAAGTTGCAAACCTTCGAAGCTATCCCTGCCAAGATATTCCGGAATCATCGGATGCGTGTAGTGACCATTGCAAACCATTACGTAGTCGAACTCGTACGTATCGTATCGTTGGTTACGCAAATCCTTCACAATCACTTCCCACTTGCTTCCATCGTTGTAGGTCGTTGACACTCTTATCACTTGGTGCTCAAATTTGATAAGCTTTTGCAATTTGAACTTTTCTGCGTAGCCCTCCAGCCATTTGAGGACTTCCGCCTGTTTGACGTACGAAACATCCGATTCGATGTCCCAATCCGGAAAGCCCATAATTTGCCGAGGAAGATTGGTCCGCAGCCCCTCGTACATGCTGGTATGAATGGGTACCCCATTCCGATCGTGTCCAACGGCGTCCGTGTAAACCCAGGTACCTCCAATACGGTCGGTCTGTTCAAATACGGTGACTTTCACAGCTGCGTCGATGGCATGTCTTGCACAGGTGAGCCCACCTGCTCCGGCTCCGATGATACAGTACCTGGGCGTACACTCCGACATGGTCGCTAGCAGGTTGAACAATGAGCCTGCAAAAACTGATTGAGGCACGCGCAAGCACCGTCTTTAGGTTGATGTGTTTGTTAAAGATTTGCATTACTCAATGATAAGCAGTGAAGCTTGTTTGGGTTGGTTGGATGGAACCTCACCGTTCAAATTTATGAGCTCTGTTATACAAGTTGATATATAATTCTTAGGAGAAGTTAATGAAACTGCCTTGATGTTCTGTTGTAGTTTGAGAAACTAGCCTGATGCTCACAATACTTCTCATACTAAATACTTTCTAAACTTTCCCCAATTTCCCTAACGATCATGCACGGCGAATGAGAATGACCCAAATTCTTAGTTAACTCATAAATCACATAGGGCCTAATTACGGCTGTCACTTCACGGTGAATACGAAGTAAAGTGACAACTTTTCACTCACGGTGAAGTGATTCCCGTTTGATTTGCCCGGGAATCACTTCACCGTGAATGACAACTTGTCACTTCACTTCGTATTCACCGTGATAAGGGTCATAAACTGCAGGAACTCAGTGATGAGTAAATTTGCTTCATGTTTTTTTTTAGGTTTTTCCAGGAAAACTTCCCGAATATGAGACTATACTGAGACAATTTTTCATCAATTTTCCTCATTTTCCGGCAGGCTTTAGAGATTTTCCACAGAAAATCATGAGGCACATTTACTCATCGCTGAGTTCCTGCAATTTTGGCGATTATGAGTGAACCATATTCCAATTTGGGTCGTTCTCATTCGCCGTGTGGATCTTCGCTAAAGCTTTAACACTTCGCTGAATAATGAGAGAGAAGGATTAGTATTTTCCATTTAATTCCACTACTTTATTTGCTTATTCTTGACAGATACACGTATTTCGTCTACAATGTGCAGACTTCTTCAGTGTCGTGTACTAATACTCGACTGAAGAAAAACATCGCATTTAACGAATATATATTAACACAGGTACATTTTCACTTAGAAACTAGGTAAACTTAAATTTAATTTTCTATAGGAACAGGTACTCCGCTGCTTACTCGTTGATGTGTCCTAGGTAGTAACTTGAAAAGCCATGTGTGTCCGTTTCCTTGATCCCTGTTGAGTAAAGTTGAATTACGTTGTTTGTTGATCTCGAGGCTTTCTGCAACATCCAATTTCCATGGTGTAATACGGTTCGTAAAATCGTGATGTCCTCCGTCGATAGTTGGTGGTCCTCTGTGAAGATGTGTTCTGCAACCTTTGATTTGAAATCATATGTTGGGCCTTTTTCCTCTTGCTTTTTGGCCTTATTAACCTCCGCTATATGTTCTTTAAATCTAGTTGCTAAAGTTCTCTTGGTTTGTCCTACATATACTTTGTTACAATAATTACAGCTTATTTTATATACACCTGCAGCAACTTTGCTCAAAACAGCAACTTTCTATATGGCCAGGCTCTCGAGATACAGTTTATATAGGAATTGCACATGCACACTAGTGCTGCGTAGTGAGAGAGTTCTGAACTAATATGGCCACCATCCGAAAGGACTTGGTCACCTGAACAACTTTGCTGAAGACAGTAACTTTCTATATGGTCAGGATCACGAAATATTCTATGTTGGAAATATGATCCATATATTATAGCGCCCGTCATAAGTAACATAAAAGTGAAGCGCCTCTAGCGGCGTAGTTCTCCATTTAACCCGAATCCAATGGCACAGGCTTGTTGGTCTAACCCAGTACAGCAACTTTGTCCAAGACAGTATAGCTTTATGTATTGAAACAAATGAGATAATCCACTACAGCCCCCATTAGTGAAAATCCCATAAGCTGTGGTGTGGGTATCCTTATTCGCGATTCCTTATTCACGCCCCCGTTACCCCGGCAATAAGGATTCCTGACTGTACTTGTACATGGAATGCGAAACTTCATATTATTGAATAATTTTAGATCTTGTACTTACTCAAATTAAGTAAGTTTTTTTTTTTAACTTAATAAAGTTAGAAATTAAGTATATGTTAAACTTCATCATTCACTGGATTTGATTCTAAAGCTGTTTCTTTAAAACTGATTGCCATGTCTTAAAAACGTTTGGGTAAATTGTTGTTATTTTGATCTACAAAAAAAAGCGTAAAAATAGCTTTCTTATTATAAGCCTGGAATTCATCCGGCAAAGTTCTGGAAAACTCAGGTGATTTTATTTAGAAAGATGAGTAGACACCCTGTAGATAAAGAAAGACGAATTATCGTCACAAAGCAAAGAATGCTCAATCTTACATGGAATACGAAACTGCAAGACATGGAATATTTTGATATCTTAGACTTACTAGCATTAAGTGAGTGTTAAACTTCAACATATAAAACTGTTTCTTTACAACTGAGTGTTGTTGTTAGTTTACAAAAAGAAAAAGTATATTTTTAACACATTTAAAAAATGTTTTCTTATAATAAACCTGGAAATTATCCGTTAAAGTTCTGGAAAAACCTGGACATCCAGTAGATAGAGAAAGATGATAAAACGCCAAAAAAGCTCTACAGAAGCACAATACCTCTAAATTGTTCGAAAATGAAAACAATGATCAATTTTGAAATAAATTTACGCTAAGATAGTTGAAAATAGCTACTGAATACAAGAAAAAGTGATTTTAGTGACTTGGCCTTAAAAATGAGACTTTTTAGTGACTGGCTTGAAAAAAGTGACTCGCTACCAGCCCTGATGAAGGCAGCATTGCGAACAAGTATGCAATGTTTTACGGAAATCGGAGAGGGTCGAATCTGAAATTCGGTTTTATTTTGTTTCGGTTTAGCCTGGATCTGCATATGCATATGTATTACTTTTGATTAGGTAATCTATTTCGACAAACAATGCATATTTAAACATTTACAATGTGCCAATTTCCGCGATAATTTGTCATCATACAACAACCATACCACATACACATACAACCCAGTCAGCTGATAAACATTGACTCTCTGGGCGACTTATTCCATTCCCGTTTAGATCTCTTCCCATTCAGTTGCTGACGGTGAGAGCTTGAGAGCGAACGTTCAAGAAAAACATTGACTGCCAGCAATAAAAAAAAATCAACAAAAATCATCTGCTTGGATTTATAACCTTCTGGCTGGTGGTACTGATACGATGGTAGGTAATTATGACCAGCATGGATTATAATTCTAAGCTTCCAACGACCTAATCTTCACAGAACAAATCATACTATTGCAGGGCAAGCAGAAACAGCGCTACTGCGTCATTGGAGCCGGAGCTGCGGGAATCTGTGCTGCCAAGTATGCACTGCAAGCCGGTGGCGAGGTGGTCGTTTTCGAACAGACTGATCAGATTGGAGGAACCTGGTCGTATACCGATGCCGTAGGAAAGGACAAGTATGGTTTGGATATTGCCTGTAGCATGTACGATAGTCTGTGGACGAATCTACCCAAGGAAATTATGGGTTATGCGGACTATACGATGCCGCCACAACGAAGGTCTTACATTCACTGGAGTGAAGTGTTGCAGTTTTTGAGGGATTATGCCCGGCATTTTGAAGTTGATAAGCATACCAGATTTGAACACTTGGTCTCGGATGTGCGACCTTATGGAAGCGGACAGCAGTGGCAAGTGCGGGTTAAAGATTTGAAAGGCAACACACATGAAACGTTGATCTTCGATTACGTGTTGGTATGCAATGGACACTACTTCGATCCGAAGATTCCAGACTACGAAGGAAAAGACCTGTTCAAAGGCGTGCAGTTGCACAGCCATCAGTACCGTAAGCCCGATGTGCTACAGAATCGCAACGTTCTGATCATTGGGGCCGGCCCAAGTGGTAGAGATTTAGTTTTTGCAGCTGCAGAATGTGCAAAAACAGTTTATTTTAGCCATCACGTGCCGCAAAAATTGAAGGACGCAGAATTCCCGGCAAACGTTGTGCAAGTCCCGGATGTCGCACGGTTACACGAAGCTGATGTGGAATTTGTCGATGGGTCAAGACAATCCGTCGATTTCATTCTCTATTGCACGGGTTATCATTTCAATTTCCCATTCTTGCATAAGGACTGTGGTATTGAATTGGACGACGATTGGGTCAGACCGCTGTATAAGCAAATCATTAACATCAACTATCCGACGATGGCCTTCATTGGAATACCGTTCTTGGTGTGTACGACCTTGATGTTTGACTTGCAGTCCCGTTTCATTATGAAATACTACTCCGGCAGTAGACTTCTCCCATCCCGGGAGGAAATGATGGAGGATTTTGAAAAGGAAATAAACGATCGATGGGCTCGCGGCTTACAGAAACGTCAGGCACACATGATGGGCGGTGAGGTGCAACGGGTTTACTACAATGATGTCGCCAAAACGGCCGACATCGAGCCCATTCCACCGGTCATGATTAATATGCACATTGCAAGCCATAGGAGAAAGAACGAAGATTTGAGCGGCTACAGAAACGACATATTTAGGGCCGTGGATAAGGAGAATTTTGAAGTTGAATATGTCGAGGAACTCGCCAATCGTGGGAAGTGATATATGGGTGCGCGAAAAGGTTACGTTATCTGTGTAGGTATATCAGTTGCTAATAAACAAAGTTTATTTTTGGATTGTTGCGTTTGATTTACGACGGCTGCCGGGCCGCAACATGCACAATACGGAATGTTGGAAGGAATTTGCATTGTATGTAAAGGGAACGTCATATTAAACTAATTTCAAAAGGTCATGTTTTGTAAAAAGTAAGTATTCTATATAATATTTCCCCAATGTCACTATAGCGCGAATGTGAGACTAGCTCAAAACGTAAAAAAATAGTCTGGGTAATTTAATATTAGATTCCGATTTATCATCAAACATAACAATACCTCGTAGGAAGGTTAAGGAGACCTTCTGAAGGCCTGAATCAGGCAGACGCTAGTTTATCTTCGCGCGTGTGCACGTTGTATTCACGGCACTTCTGCAGAACCTGCTAAATCGTGAAAACCTGGTCCGTGGTAGCGCGGGTATCCATGAATCCCGACCCACAAACTCGCTTGCAAATAGTAACAGTCGGTGGCATAGAATTTGGGAGAGAACATTGTTGGCGGCGCGTGTCAGCTATGTGAAGGCGCGATAGTTGCAGCAATCCAACTTGTCGCCCTCTTGGAATTGACTCCTTCTTTAAAACATGAGCAGTTCTTTGACAGATGAAAGCCATCAACTGATTATTGAACATATTCTTTTTTGGCGTAGAACTACGTCTTTGTCGACTATACTGGGGTGCAAATCAAAAAATATGTGTGGTGAAGTAGTGTTAGGTTTTGACCGCTTGTAGCTTTGTCATTTATAGATGAAAATAAAATCCAAATACGCCAATCGATAGGATTTTACATTATGAATCTTCTGAAATAAATATTTTTTTCCACATAAAACATTTGAAAAATGTACAAATGATAATTTTATCTCTGTTTTCATGAAATAAACGATTTTTCCAAACCCAGCCGTTATAATCGAGCACCATTTGGTTGTACATCGTTCTGCTTGAACCTGAAAAGATATAAAACAGCGCTGCTGTCACCTCTGCTCATTACCACTTCAGACGGAGTGGCACTTGGTCCTGCAGCAAGCAGGAGCAAGTCAGCGGATTAAGGTGGTTCATGGCGTGACATCCTATCACAATGAGGAAATGAGGAACTTGGAAAAGTTATACATGCAAAACACCCCCACCTTAAACGACAACCCAAAAAAGACATGGACTTATCACTTTATTCCGGGAAATAAATTATAAGCAAACTACAATTATAAGTAAAAGCAAAAGTTAAATTTTTTAGCCGCTTACCATAGAGCCAAAACTTTCAAATTTGAAAAACAAAATTGCTTAAAAAAGGCATACATTCTATTATGTTGGTGAATTACCAACAACTGACTGTAAAACATATCTGGTACCTCTATATATGCAATTAGATTAACATCCGAAGTCCAGCCTTTTTTACATATTCTGCACAAAAGATACTTTCTGCCCCGCCCCATTTATAAAAACGGCGGGAAATCCTATCAGGTGCGGTTGCACTTGCACATCGTTCTGCTTGATCCTGAAAAGATATAAATCAGCGCTGCTGTCGTGCTTTTGCTGACGAGGCATAGCAAGTCGTTCGATTGCATAATTCAGATGCTTGGGCTCCAACCTGAGGCCGTGTTCCAGATGAACCGCCGTTCCATCAACAATACCAACTTCCGTGACCAGTTGTTTCTGGTGCACTTCACGAAGGGATCCACCAGTCTTGCGGCTCTGAGATCCAAAATCCGGGACCTGTTTCAGGTCATCATCAGTTGGGAGCATTACAAACCCCAACATCGTGATGTAACGCAGTGTATAAACTGCCTCTCATATGGCCATGGCACCAAAAACTGCCACATGAAGACAAACTGCGGCAAGTGTGCTGGAACTCAGTCAACTGCGTCCTGTGAGCAAGTCGATGACATCGAGCCAACGTGTGTCAAATGCGGTGGAAACCACCAAGCCTCCAATCGCGGATGTCCCAAGCGAGTGGAGTTCATTAATATCCGTCGGAAGGCCACAATCATCAACCTGCTTGGTCGCCTTCGTAATCATCGTTCGCCTCCTGTACTAACGGAAGTCCAGTACCCAGCTCTCCAGCCCCGTCGACATGTTCCGAACCTAGCCCCGCTTCCGCTCAACAAGCAACAAGCCAATCCCGCGAGTATCCAAATGGTTCCCAACAGTCGGACAGTTCAGCATCGTCTCGCTGCTGCTGCGGCCCAGCCAATTCCAGGTTCATCCACCGCCCCTGGTTTATCATACGCTGGTGCTGTCTCAGGTGAATCTGTCGACGATTCTCCGTTCATCTCGGAGGAACTTGTGACGCTCGTGGCCGAGGTCATCATCATCATGCGTACCTGCAAGACTCGATCTGAACGCTTCATGCTGCCTTGTCACTCGTCACCAAGTATGGACCGTGAAGCTATAAAAATTGCAAATTGGAACGCTTGCTCACTGACGAACAAGCATAGAGAGCTACTCGATTTCCTCAACACCAAGGAGGTCGACATTGCTATCATCACCGAGACGCATCTGAAGCCCGAACTGAACGTATTCCTTCCCGACTTCCGGCTCGTCAGACTTGATCGCCCCTGCTCTGGAGGTGGAGGAGTGGCCATCGCTGCAAGACGGAACATCAGTTGCCGGCTGCTACCAAACTTCCAGCTGAAAACAATTGAAGCCATCGGAGTGGAGGTGAGCACATCACTTGGCCCAATCACCATCATCGCGGCCTACTGCCTCAAGCAAACCAACATCAGGGGCGGGTCGTCAGTGGCCCTCCGCAAAGACATCATCAAACTCACCCGGAGGAGCGGGAACTTTATCATCGCTGGCGATCTGAACGCAAAACATCAAGCTTGGGGCAACGGTCGGAGCAATAGAAACGGCATCATCCTCAATGAAGACCTGCAAGAGGGCCACTATACCATCTTGGCCCCGGACTCTCCCACCCGGTTGAGTCGGTCTGGGGTCCATGCGACCATCGACATCTTCGTAAGCAACATGGGACACAACATCTCGCAACCTGTGGCATTCCAGGAGCTGAGCTCGGACCACTACCCGGTGGTGGCCAAAGTTGGATCCTCGGTAAACCGATTCGAAGCTTCCCGGCGCAACTACCATCGAGTCAACTGGGTGCATTATCAACACTGCGTCGACACAACCATCGACTACGATGTCCAACCGGGGACGTCCAAACATGTTGACCATTGAGGAGGCGATTTCCCGGACCAGGGAACAACACGTGCCAGTATCCAGACAGGTGAGTAACACTCTGAACCTTGACAGCCATACCAAAGATCTCATTAGACTCCGTAACACCATTCGTAGGCAGTACCAGCATAGAGGTAACTCTAAGACCAGCAGGTCCCGAAGAAACATGCTCGCTTATCGATGCACCCCTCGAAACATAAGAAAATCCACGAACCCCGTCATTTTATCTGTCAAACTTTCATAGCGAATCAAAACAAACATAGTGTAGTACTAGAATTTCAACTAGAATGGGGTACGTTAATCGATTTGCTTGGGACCGATAGGCTAGTCAATTTAAAATCGTTAGTTTCCACCGGTTGGTACCAGCGTACTGGCCTGCCTAACTTGAAGACCAATTGTAATCGATTAACAAAGATATTTAGGCCACGATGCTGGATATCAGAAATAACGATTTTGCTAGTAAGATCCGCTCTCTCCCAGATTGTGCTAAGCCCTTCTGGAAACTTACACAAATTCTTAAAAACCCAGTGGTTCATCTGATAACTCCTGAAGAGAAGGCTGCCGCGATAGGTCAACACTTCGTCAGCTCCCATAATCTCGGACAAAACATCGTCAGCCCTCATGAATCTGAGGTTGCTGAAAATGCAACCAATGTTCTTCAGATTCCTAACATTTTTCCCGAGGAATCCGAGATTACGGCTGACGAACTGTTGGCCTATATCAAATCATCTAAAAACATGAAGGCCCCAGGTTTCGACAACATCCTGAATCTGAAACTCAAACACTTGAGTTCCAGATTCTACAACCATCAATTTTTAAGGGGCTGTTCATAAACTACGTAGACAGTTTTTTGGGATTCTTGTCCCCCCTCCCCCTGCGTAGACAATTGTTCATACAAAAAAAAAGTTGTATGGGCCTTGGGTAATTGTCAACCCCCCCAACTGTCTACGTAGTTTATGGACAGCCTCTAATCAGTGCCTCAGACTTGGCTACTTCCCTTCGTGTTGGAAGTCAGCCAAAGTCATACCCATCCGGAAACCTGGGAAGGATCCGTCCTCTCCTTCAAGTTATCGACCAATCAGCCTTCTCTCAGGGTTATCAAAACTATTCGAAAGAGCAGTATACGACCGGCTCCTAACATCTGCCGATGAAAACAACTTCTTACTCGAGGAACAGTTTGGTTTTCGGAAAGGTCGTTCGACCGTCCACCAGCTGACTAGAGTAACAAACATTCTCAGACGGAACAAGTCTGTTTCGAAAACATCTGCCATGGCGTTGTTGGACGTTGAAAAAGCGTTCGACAATGTCTGGCATGATGGCCTGGTGTTCAAATTGCAGCAGTATGGTCTTCCAATCTTCCTAGTGAAGATAATAAACAACTATCTATCAGACAGGACGTTCCGAGTCTCTCTGAATGGCATCACATCGGATGCTTTCAACGTCGGTGCCGGGGTTCCACAATGGAGCATACTTGGCCCCATTCTATTCAACCTGTTCACCTCCGATATGCCGGCTCTCCCTGATGGTGGATCGTTGACTCTGTTCGCAGATGACACATCCATCGTCTACAAGGGTAGGGTCATCGGAGCTCTGACTGCCAAACTTCAGAGAGGCCTGGACGTCCTGTCTGAATATTTTAGCAGCTGGAAGATCCGTATCAACGCGGCAAAGACCCAGGTCATTATCTTTCCACACTCTAAATTTCCCAGACTTGTTCCGTCGGAGAATAACAAGATCTGCCTGAACGGCACAGTGGTGGAATGGTCCAAAGAGGTCGTGTACCTCG